CACACCAACATTCCCCGAAATCACTGATGCTTGGGTGTGCTCTGGGTTGGTTCCCCCACCTGGCTTCAGCCAGGGCAGCCCCACCGGCATCAGTTTTATGTAGCACGGTTCTAGGTGAGGTTTCTTTTAACAAAATTTCTTCCACTAGATGAAGGTTGGGGGATCAGGGAACACCGTCTTGGACCATCAGTGTGTGACCAGAGGACGTTGTCACTAGCCTAGAGAAGAGTTGGTCCCTTTCCCTTCAGCCGCTCAGTGACTTGGGACTTTCTAAATCTAGGCTTTCAAGCTGGGACCTTTTAAATCTAGACTTTAAAACATCAGGGAAAGAACTTCTTTTTCTTATAAACTGAGAACTTCAGAACAAGCACAAGTGTAAACCCCCTTCTCTCCTCTCTAGCCACACCCAGCTTAAGACTCATTCAGACCCTAATTCTTTCCTGAATCCACAGTTTCAATCCCAGAATAGAAGACAGAACCCAGCAATTACCACTTTCATCTGCTCCCTGTTTTCCATGTTTCTGGGACCCTAACCACCTCCCAAATGAATAAAAACCTTGGTCTGAGAGTGGGGCTCCCCTGGACTGTAATGTCTGGTGACCATGCATCAGCTCTGCTGCTGCCTTCGGGTTGGTGTGAGGGGTGGGGAGGGGCATGGGGAGGAGGGGCAGCAGGGAGGGGGGAGGAGGGGTCCCGCTGAGAAGGGCTGGGTGGCCTGTCTCCCCTACAGCTGTTTGAAGGGAACATGCACTATGACACCCCCGACATCCGGAGGTTCGACCCAGTTCCGGCGCAGTACGTGCGGGTCTACCCTGAGCGGTGGTCGCCAGCGGGGATCGGGATGCGGCTGGAGGTGCTGGGCTGTGGCTGGACAGGTAAGGTCCTCTTCCCACTGCGGTCTCACCTCCTCCCACTGCGGTCTCACTCACAGGGTCTTGTGACCTCGGCTTCCTGGGATGCCCCGGGAGGAGGTCAGACCTCCATGGGGACAGGGCGGAAGGGCAGCCGTCGCTGGTGACATCCCATCAGCTCAAAACCGGCAGACCCCCAACCCGCCCTGGACCCTGCCAAGCTCTGCTTCAGACCATGGGTACCTCAGACCACAGGTACTCTGGACTCAGGACAGTTTCTCAAGGGATGTGCTTTGTCTTTTTTAAAGGCCTATTTCAGTCCTCCAACCCGAGTCTCTCAAAAACAAATCATAACCACACGCCACCTACCCAAATTCAATTAGACCCTGACTCTTCAGGCCAGAGGGCTGTGGCTGTTGATTTAGGGAAGAAAAAAACCCTCATGATAATAAAGTTATCGGTTTATGTCTGAATCTGGCTCCAGATGTCAGTGGCTAAGAGACTGCATTTTCATTTCGAAGCCACATCTGTAAAAAGCATTTATGAGCTCAGGAGGGACCCTGGTGCGGGGGAGCTGCCGGGAACAGGACTTCTTCCCAGTGTGCGGTGTGCGCAGGAGCCTCGCTCCGTCCCACCTCCCCCATGCTCAGGCCCTGGGAGCACCTGATTCTCCTGAACGAGGATGAGACCCACCGGGCATGCCCACCCTTCCTGTTTCCCGGGGAGTGCCCATCCTTCCAAATCAGGCCCCACCTTCCCTGCGGGCATCTGCCCTCCTCCCCGGGCAGCGCGGGCACAGATCTCACAGGAGCTGGGGCTTGCTCACCGCCTGCCAAGCCAGTGCCAGCAGGAGCGCCAGGGCCCCAGGTAGCTCCATTTTCCTGTCTGTGCCGTACCTGTCAGCAGCTTACCCAGCGGGGCGTTGTGAAGGATTAATGAGGGCATGTCGGAGAAGTGCTTTGGGCTCCCAGGGAGAAAAGTGCTGCCTGTGTGCCCGTTACGATGGCGCAGAGGGGCAGTCCCGTCGAGGCACGCAGGCTGGGAATTGGGCCCAAATTAGCCTTCCTCACCTTTGGATGGAAGGCAGCCCCAATGAACACATTGTAGTGGGAAGACACTTGACTCCCCATCATGTCGGTGTGAGGCCACGGTTCCCTGCAGCCTGCTGAGTGTGCGTCACCTGTCCTCTTGCAGGTGCTGAAAACTGCCCCTCCAACAGTGACCCAAGCTGGCTTCTTATGGCCAGATTCAGAGGGTTAGAGATGCAGGGGACGTAGGGGCTTCCAGGCCAGTGGCTTTCCAACATTTCTGACCATCATTCAATTTAGAATAAATTTATATCACAACCCTCTTGACTTACAAGCAGGCATGCACACACACAAGCACACACATGTATAGTATTATAGAGATATAGTATTAAGTGCCTGGACTCTGGGGACAGATTGCCAAGCTCAAGTCCTACCTCTGTGATCGCTGGCTGCTTAACCTCTCAGCATCTCAGTTATCTTAGCTAAAGAATGGGGGTGACTGGGGTACGTGTACACCCCCCACCCAGGATTGTTACGAAGAGTCAATAAAATAGTGGATAGAAAGTACTTAGCCTGCTGCCTGGCACCTAGTAAGCCTGTCATAACAAGTAAAAGTGACTGAAGCAGAAGTTTCCTCCTAAAGCAGTGCTCATCTCTACCATGTGAGTGCAGCCTAAAATATTATAGTCCAGATTTTTAAATGCTAGTCAGGACCCATTAAATTGATCCACAACCTATTAACAAGGGTGACATGCAGTTTGGAAAAAAATCATAGATCTAGGCCAATCTCTCTCTCACAGACGGGGAAACTGAGTTCCAGGGAGAGGAGCCGCTTACCAGAGCCGCTCAGCCAACTGGGGGCTGACTCACTTCCCTCCCATCCCCAGCACCTCCTGCCACGCCTCTCCCAGGCGGCCGGCTTTATGACCCGCTGGACAACTGCTGATGGCCTTTTCCTCTTCCTACCCACCCTCCACCAAAGCTGGCCCTGATCACACAGGCGATGGTCAGCAACAGGTTTCTCATTTCAAAGTCCTCCCAGCCATTCCTTGGAAGATCAGAGTAGGGGCTTGTTACCCTCTGTCCAGCCTCCTTCCCTTTGAAGTCTCTGACATCTGGTTTCAATTGCCGCGGAGTGTTGTAGTTTGATGGGCAGTTACCTCTCAGTGTCCAGTACAAGCACAGTGGACACAGAGGCCAGCTGCCGTCTCCTCGCTTTCAGTCACACACCCTGCCCTCTCGGTGCCTCGCCAGCCCCCTGCGCCCCTGGATTTAACACTCTCTCCGCCCGCAAGGTCACCCCCTCTGCTACCTAACATGTCCAGGAATGGCTCTCCCAGGCTATGTGGTGTTCTGCTGTTCAGATTTCCACTCATTTCTGCAGCTCATCCCTGCCCCCTTCTTCACTCCTACCCCCAGAGGAAAGCAGGGAAAATAATGGGCCGGGTTGAGCTGCCACAGCTAAATAATTTGACGGGGCTGCTTCACCTGTTCGTTTGTTTGTGTCTCAAATGATTACTCCTTGCCTGGCTGCCTGTAGCTTGCTTTACAATAGAGTTGGAGATTCTATGACACAGTGACAAATTCGAACTTACAAATTAGGACGCTTTGTGGTTATTTGCTATTTATGGTAAGCAAGAGGCAGACACGGCAAAGGAAGGATGGAAGGTTGTGTGTCTAGTTTTTAGTAGCAGAAAGATGGGAAGTCGACTGTGAAAAAGCTGTTCAGTGTATTTAGCCATTTCCTTCAGCTCCTGGCTTTATTAACCAGTATCCTGAGGGTGCCTGAGAAAGGCGTCTGATCACGTACAGTGGTGCAAAGGGACCACATAGAAACGGGTGGAACCGTGCTCGGGCTTATTCAGGGAGTCTGGCTGGAGGGCAGCTCTGGGATGGAGACCACACCCCACAACACATGGGCGTGAACACCGGTCACCAGAACTCCTTCTGGCCCCACCCAGGGCTGACTCACGGTTTCATTCAGTTCATAAAGGTTGCTGAATGAATGATGGGTGTGAGCGAATAAACAAGTGAATGGATGGGTGAATGAATCACCAAGAGCCGAGGTCCCAACTGCCTGCCTGCCCCAAGGCCCAGCCAGGTTTGGTCACATGCTACTTGTAGTATTTTGAATAAGTTGCCAACATTGACAAGTCTGGAGATTCTCCATGGGGATTGTTTTGCTTCCTGGGGCAGGGGTGGGGGGGTGTTTTTTTTTTTTTTTTTTTTTGCAAGATCTGGCCACACTGGGCCACCTGTCCTTGGAGTCTGCTGGAGCCAGTCAGGGTGGTGGCCTCCTTTAAACCAGGCGAACAGGATCCCTCCGCCCCCTTCTCTCCCACCCTTTACTCTCCCGAAGCCTGGTTGGCCATCCTTCCTCACAGCAGCTGCTTGCATCCAAGAAGTATTTGAAATTGCCACACCCTGACCTAAAGGCACAGCCCCTGGTGGCTTCCGCCAAAAGAGTCTGAGTCCCTTTGAGCCCGTATTCTTTCCCATCCAGTTTTGTGCAAACACGAACAACAATGTCTGGGGTTTCCTCTGGCTTTGGCCATTGTGCCTGATGATTTTGTAATAGGTGGGCCCTCAGGTAGCTTTGGTTCAAAAAAGTTCCATCTGACTCCGAGAAGGCTGAGAAGGGAAGGCCTACTCCCTATGCAGGCAGGGTGTGGGGGTGGGTGCAGGGGTGAGGGTAGGGGTGTGAAGACATAGCAGCGGCTCCCCGAGGGGCCGTGCGCGGATCGGTGTTTTCCAGGGGGAGAGTCAATTCGTTAACCCAGATTTTTTTTTTTTCGAGCCATTTTTGATGGGTGTCGTTCACTGTGTGTGTCGGTGCATCACCTGATGTTTTAAACAGAGTATATGGTTGGACCCTGCCTGGGGTCATCGTTACCCACAGTCATTACTGCCTGGCAGGGCCTTTTGTGCTGGTCTTGGGGCCTCTGCTGTGGAGTAAAGAGGGTGGGTTTGTGTGTGCACCTCTGTCACTGCTGTTTCTGCAGCTTGGGGCCGTTCTCCCTCAACTTAGGCCGTGGTCCTGACTTCCTCGACAGCACACAGAAGTGACTTCAGGAATGTGTGTGTGTGTCTCTCTGTCTGTCTTGGTTTTCCTTTTTCCTTCCTTCTCTGCAGGCCCAGGCTTGGAGAGGAGACAGTATTGGAATCTTCCTCCTGCTGGGTTTCAACACGGGTCTATCATGCAGCATTCACTTCCCCTCCTTTGCCTTTACGCAGACTCAAAGCCCACAGTAGAGACACTGGGACCCACCGTGAAGAGCGAAGAGACCACCACCCC